CTGCTGTCACGTAAAGGCGCTAGTGCCCCTAACTCCCAGCCGTAAAACAATTCCCCCTGCTTCATTGGAAGTTAGAACCCCTATAGTTTTCAGTTCTCTGGGAAATAAGCGCCGTCGCGGTCAGCAGCACCTCAAACAGCAACCCAAAACGCCACCACCCCAAACTGCATGCCCCGTAGCACCGTCGGCACTCTCGGAAAATTGCGCCCACAACGTCACCAGCACCCCAAACAGCACCCCAAACAGCCCAAAACACAACCGCCCAAAACACAACCTGCAACTGCATGCACCATCAATCTCGCGAACATGCGCCTGCACCTTCACAAGCACCTCAAACTGCACCAGCACCACAAACTGAATGCCCCCTGGCACCCGCTGTCCATCAGCGCCTTACACAGCACAGGCACCAAACGGCGCCGCGCCGCAAACTGCATGCTTCCTAGGGCCCGGCCGTCATCTCCACCAGCATCCCAAACTACATGCCCCCAGGCACTCGGCCGTCAATTTCGCAAAGCGTCGCCTTTACCAGCGTCCCAAGCTACATTCCCCCTAGCACTCGGCCGTCGATGTCGTCAATTTCCCCTAGCCCTCGGCTGTCAATCTCGCAAAGCAGCACCCCAAGCACCCGGCCGTCAAGTTCGCAAAACAGCACCTCCACCAACAATTGCACCCGGCCGTCAAGCTCGCACAACAGCATCCACCAGCACCCCAAACTGCATGCACCCTGGCGCCCGGCCCTTAATCTCGCAAATCACTTTTCCTTCTTTATTAGAAGTTAGAACCCCTATAGCTTTCAGCTATCCGGGGAAAAAACAAGCACACACACACGCCTGGGCGATTTCCTCCTACCTTCGTTCTTTTTCCATTTCGGGGGCTAAAGCCAGCCAAGCCGCCCGTAGGTGCAGCTCCAGAAGCTGGAGAGTATGGACACCTTGGGGCAGCCGAAGAACCGCACCTCCGCGCTGACGTCGCTGGACTCTCAAGACTCCGCGCAGGTGGTGGTGAGCTTCAACGAGGCGCCGAGGGCGTGGGGCGTGGGTTGGTGCATTCTGCCCAGCTTTTGGCCAAGCTTTTTGTGTCTTATTTTCTAGTCTTAGTCTGTATTCAAGTCACTGCAGTGGGTTTTCCGTATTAAACCACTAAAGGTTAAAAACTTGGAGCAGGGGAAAATAAAGCAACCGAGAATGGGTTGGTGGTTTGGCAGGTGTTGGAGCCACCGCTTTTGCGGTCTACAGATTTTTGAACCTTGGTTGAGCCCAGGGAAACGAGGTAAAATGCGCCCGGCTCAAGTAAGTCCATATTTTTTGTTTTCCGAGAAGAGCCGAGATCTTCTGAGGAAGGACTTAGCCCTTATCGTTTTTTTGGGCTTTCCGATCAAGTGATTGCCGAATCTGTTGAGAGAGAGTACCAGACTCTGCAGCGTTTTCATGATCCGAGTTAATCCTCTTACCGCTGGGAGGAATCTCCTGATCAAGGCCGGCTAGGGAAGTGGTTTAAGTGACTACATATCCCTCCGACTCCAAACCACGTCCTGAAACAGATTGCCAACCCTCACACGGGCCGCTCCAAGTGCAGCCTGAATGATGCAGGATGCAGGTGCCAGGGCAGAGGGCAGGCTTGCAAAAGCACCGCCCGGCAGGCTCCTCAAGGCCTGCAAGGCTATTGACACTCGCTGGAGCTGGTGGGGCATTACATCGCAACTAGATTTCGATTCTGTCACATCACATCCGGCAACTCGCAACAAGAGCTGGCCAACGACTGAAAACAGTTCTTCTTTCCTGCTCAACTGGACGCCGTTGCCCTTGCTTCCAAAATCAGCGCACTTACACTTGCATATGTGGATGCGGCCGGGTGCTTCGGTAGAAGGGCAGATCACAAGCTGACAAGCGATCCAGCAAGAGCCCGCAGACGGCGGCAAATGCAAAGCCAGACTTAGAAGGCAAACGAGCTGCGACTGCAACACTTGGATAGGGCGCGCATGTACGTTCTCGTGCATGCGCATGCTTCACGATGCTTCACGTTCACGGGCGCTATATTGTCCGCAGGTTTAAAACCAAGTATGACAGCTTGTGAACCCTTTACTGCACATTGATATCCCCACTTGCCTCACTCCTTGCCTTCATGGCATGGCTGAATGGATCAACTGTTGCTACCCCAACAGCAAAGGAGGTTGCTCGATGAGATTGATGAGACGTCTTGACGGTTGTCAAGAGTGACCCCACCTATCCCCACCATTCACGTCCCACGCATGCCCAGCACTCCCCCAACTGTTCTCGAGGATCTCGAGCATGAGGAGATCGACAAGCTGCCTTCTCTGCGCAGCCCCGGTACGAGGGGGATCCACATCCTCTGAGAGTTGTTGGCACCGCCAATTCGTGCCGGGTGTGTCCGGCAAAGCGGACCCAAGGCTCCGGATTCTCGTTGGGGATCCCTGCCTGTTTGACACCTGGACACATCCAGCCAGATGCTGGCGCAAGCCTCAACTGGTAAAATATATGATCCAGATGGGGTTCAAGCAGAGCCTTGTTTTTGCAGGATTCTGCCTCATGGAATCTTGAGTCACATGCTGTTGAGAGGGCACCCTCCCAAGCTTTTTTTGTCTGGCGATGGAGGAAGGGGTTTACTCACATGTGTCCAGCCAACCCAATATTAAAGGCTGGCGTGCCTTACGAAGCTCTGTTAGGAATGTCGCCACATCCTATGGCAGTTGTTTCTTGTCGGAATGAAGACGGGGGCCGAAGCCTTGAGGTAGTTCCCCTATTTGGGCCGTATGTGGCATGATGCAAAGGCCCCCTTTACTTTGGGTCAACAAGGATCATCCACCTGGCAGTAAGGATCCTTAATCGCCATTATGATGATTCCTATTCGTGGTTTGTGCAAATGCGATGACTCGACAGCCAACGGCATAGGAAACCTCCAAGATCTATCGGGATCAAGGAGCCCATCAGAAGCCAACGGGCAGCTACGCCCTCATTTTGGTCCGCGAAGTGGCTTGCACCGGACTGGTCAACTGGGTGTGGGTCAAAATTAAACCACCAGGGGACCGCCTTGTTTAGTCATGGGTTCCATTTGCCAGGGTTCCATTTTGGGTACCCATTTTTGACCCGCAGCCGACTCAAGTTTGACCGGTCTGCATGACTTTCAGAGTGTCGGCTCCAATTTCTGCGGTAGGCGCTCGGCGGGGACCGCGTGCGTCCAACCCACCCAACCCACCCACCCAACCCACCCAACCCACCCACCCAACCCACCCAACCCACCCAACCCACCCAACCCACCCGAACGGTAAAGTGGAACCAGATCCTTACCGACAGTGCATTCCGCAGATTCCGGATAGAGTGGTCAGGCGTATTGAGACGGTGGGCAACGTAGATTCATTCTGCTAACCCCTGTACAGCACACTTCTTGTTGGCTCCCTTGTGTATAGCACCTCGAAGCCCCACACATTTCGGAGGACACCGCGACCTGCCTGCGGCAAAGAAAGGCGGTTTTGGCGCCCTCCCAAACGCGGCCAGACTCAATCCAGAACTGCAAGGCTTCGCTCAAATCGCTGGGATTTGGGAGGGTGCCACACTGGCTGGCAACATCTATGATTCCTGGTGAACGGTACACCATTCGGAATGGTACACCGTTCAGCTTTTCCTGTCGCACACCATTTCCCACCATCTTTGAAGCTTGAATAGCGCAGTCCGCCCATCTGGCCGCTGGCTGTGACATGCGGCAGATCTACGCGAATCATAGTAGCCGTCAAGGAGGAATTTTCATTCGCCGAGATCTTGTCCGTTTGCTGTTTCACCTTGCTAGGGCGGCGTTGGCACTTGTGCCCAAAGAGCAGCAGGAGCTGGCAACGCGCTCGGGCTTGGGCTTTGGACTGTCCCACAGAAAGAGCAACCACTCCCCACGCCAGGATAGCTGTGTTTTTTTTTTGACCCTTTTCGTGGGCACGGACTCCGCTCAGCATGGAATTGATGAGGCGAGACAGGGAAAAACTGCAAAGGGTCAACATTCTTTCTCATCAATTGCTGTAAATGACATGACATGGGCCCTCACTTTCCCAAGCGCGCAGTTCTCCGCTCAAATCGGTTCCGAACCCCTCTCAACAGCTGGCCCGGTCCATGTTTTGACACCCCCCCCATCCAACATTTGACCTGCTTGGGTATGCCCATGGGGCAACAGCCCCGCAACACCAGGGCGTCGCCAGATCCCGGGCCATGTCAGGGCACCACTTCGCAGAAGAAAAGAGCTTGTTGTTGCGCTCGGGTCGAGGGCCGCGGTCGCTTGCTCGGCTATGAACTTCAGGTGGGCCTTGCGAGGGGAAAGGGGGAGGGGACTCAGACTACCAGATGCTGCAGATTCCATGTTGCCGACAACATGATGCCCCAAACAAGAATCTAAGGGCCCATTCCGGAGCCTCACAAGAATCACTATGTCCCCGAAAGAAAGAGCTTCCGTTCTGGGATACTGTACCTCATGTTTCAGCTTGGTGTTTGTTTCGTACACTTTCCTCATTTTCCAGGATGGTGAATTCTTGGGTTAACTTGAGGGAGAGACCTCAAGCACAACAACGTGACGAGACCTGCACTGGTTTGCGTCCGGGCCAGTTGAGTGCCGATCGCAGTCGAGGCTTTTTGGTGCCTTGGGGTCGGGCTGTTTGCATTTTGTGACGGGCCGAACCAATTGCACTTAACTTTTGACACCTTAGCACGCCCCCAGGCCTTGGGAGATTCCCCCGAGAGAGGAGTCCACAAAGACCAACTGCCCAAGTGCGGTGGATATACCCTGTTGTAATGTCGTTGGGTCAAATTTTATCGGGTTTCAACACGGACGGCGAAAGAGATGGGATGATCTTTGCACGAGTCACAGCAAGCCCACCCGGATAAAGAAAGGTGACCCTATCGCGAAGGCTCTACCCTTAGGGACCGCCGAATTCACGTTGCAGAAATTCGATGCTTGAGCCTCACATCAGTGGCCTTCTCAGCCATGGATGTTTGCCTTGTCCACAGGAGATGGACATGCTCTTCTCTGGGTCTCTGCAGGCGCGGCTGTGGTTCATTTGTGTTTCTGACCTGCACCCCACCTCAACTTGTCATCCAGAAAGCCCAACAGATATTCATGTTCCAACTGAGGGTCAACTGACCCAATCAGGATACACGTGTTTGCTTCAAGGTCAGATATTGCCAGACGTAGTCATGGCACACTTAGCAAAGTTGTGGACTAAATGTAGTCTGCTGGTTTTGATAGAATAGGCACAGTTACTGTAAATGAACACAAACAAATAAGAAAGAAAGCACACAGATAGATGAAGACACAGGTAGAGAAATATCAGACAGCTAAAAAAGCACGGTTTAGCAAAAAAGGAGAGCAAGGTTTCATCGATGGCTCAAAGTGAAGCCTGCCCGACATGAGCTAAACTCCTGAACATGTTCGAATCCCAATTCCTTCCTTCTCGTCGACTCCAAAGTGCCTCAGAGGGTCAACAAGCTGCCGAGCAAGTTCTTGAAACTATTGAACTGCGGCCTACGAGTTTTCCTTCTTGCACGCCTCTGGCCCGCTCCTGCCCTCGTTTTCGCTCGCCTTCTTTTGCCTTGCGTGCTCTTCTGCCCGCCCGGTCACAGGCGCGGCTTCGCTTTTGGGCCAAGGAGATCATGGGCGCGGTGCAGGCGCGCTGATTGAAACTTGGTGGCTCCCAGCCATCCGGTTCCCTAGCTTAGCCTTTTAGTGTCTAGTGGTAGTTTCCATTGAACCCACTGAAAGTTAGTCACTTTTTAGCGGGGGATCTGAGGGCCCAGGAAAGGAACCAATTGGATGGAGGCTGATGTAGAGCATCCCCTGTGGACTGGTTTGCTTCGGGCATTGATTGTCTGACACGTCTCGCTGTTGGGATGAATGCATACATCTTGGAATCAGCTAAATTGTCTGCCGAGAACTGCCTTTTTGCTGGACCCCTTTGAAGGAATTCAAGAGATATAAACCTTGGTTCCTGCTTGCGGCTTATCATTCACAACCCAGGCACATAGCAACGTGTTGGCCGGTGTTCACATGTATCGTACACATCATTCACCGAATGGAGGTGAACAAATATGTGGCATCGCAGGCTTGACCTTCAGGTTTGAGACGAGTGCAGCAAAGCGAGGCTGTCGTCTTGGCAACTAAAACCCCGGAGCTAGGGAAGCACTGGAAACCGACAGGTTGCAGAGCCGTCTCAGCGTGACCACATGTTGACACCTCGACATGGCCTGATGTAATTGCCGCGGCGTGCTCTTGGTAAACTGGCCATTTGGTTTGGCACATCTGTTGCTTAATGTTGAGCCCATATTAATTTCAACCCCAGTTTGCGGGTTGGGGTGTGTGCCCCCTAATAAACTGGGGTTGAATAACATGGGGTCAATATCAGTAGTGCCCGTATTCCCCCTTGGGAAAAGAGCTCCCCTACTAAAATAGACTTCCGAAAAAAAGGTTGGTACCCTTCTTGTAAGCTCTCTGGACCTAGGAGCCCCCGGACCCCGCGCCTTGGCCCGCTGGGCTCGCGTGAGGTGCACCAGGCGGAGGGCTTGGAGAAGGTGGTGACCGTGGCCCAGAAGCTGTTGGACCGCAGCCAGGCGTCCGGTGACCCCGTCCGGTTTCCCGCCGTCCGCTTCTGTTTTTGTAGCACAAATATGGACAGACACGGACACAGACACACACACACACACATGCAACATAGACAGATAGATGGACAGAAAGGCACACAGATTGATACATAGAGACAGACCACACAGAACCAGACACAGGCAGACTTGGGTGCGAGGGGGGAGGTCGGCTCCGCGAGGAAGCTTTGGACCTCTTCAGGTCCAAGACCGGCATCAACAAGGCGGGACTAGGGAAGCCAGGGGAACAAGGGAGGGGTGGCCCCCCTCTCGGACCCAGAGCCACGGATTTCGCGTTTACCGCTCGATTTGGAAAAAAAACCGGTTGTTTGCAAGAAAAGATCAAGATGTGTTGGGAACCCACGGGATCATGAATGGATGAGCTGGAAGCAAGGCTTGCCAATGTTGCTTTTGTTGCCAGGGTGCTCCCCAATGAAAAGATACCCATTGCCGCGACATCACCTGTGCTTTTTTTGCCGCCACGACGGTGGTTCATTTTGCTCATTTTCTAGCTGCGAATGGGAGCTTGCTCATCGGCCTCGGGGGTTCAATCAAACGACCCGTGATTCTCCTCGAATCAGATGCTCCTTTGCACGCTCCCCGAACATCGAATTCTCTCAGATGCTCTCGACTGCTCCCTGAATTCTGCCCCACATCTCCCCTAAATGCTCCCGATCCCAACCTGAAACTTCTGCCCACATGCTTTTAAGAGGCTCTTCAATAAGGGCCGCATGGAAAATGCGTGTCAAGTGGCATAAGCAGGGCTGCGAGCGGAAAGATAAGGGAGGCACGGCCAGGGATTCACTTTATTAGAATTACAGAGTTCGAGTATAGTTGAAAGCCCCCAAATGAGCAGTTCTTGGGACCTTTTGACGAAGCTCAGGCTGCCATCTGATTCTTTTGACGACCTTGGTGGCATGCAAATCATGTGAAAGTTCTTTTGTGCGAGTTGTGAATGTGTTTCAATTGAGGGCATCTCGGGAGCATTGGAAGAAATTTCCAGTTTCAAGCGAGAAGAAGACGAAGAAGAAGAAGAAGAAGAAGAAGAAGAAGCAATTGCGCACCAGCGAAGGCGTTTTCTGTTAAATGTGCACCTCGGTCTGGCAGACTCAATCGGAGATCGCATGTTGACATTCCCTTCTTTGCGGATCCTTTGCACTAGCAGACCGATTGCTAAATTTGGATGGCTATGAATTGATTGCTGTAGGTCCTAGGGTGAACACGTGGATGCATGGAACTAATCGGTTTTGTCTTGCCAGCAGACGCATTCCATCAAATCGGACCACAGACATTTGCATGCATCCCTATTGCTAATTCCCTCTAGCCACATTGGGAACAGCTCTTGGGAGTTCGACGTTTCCGACTATGATGCACCAATCAAGATCTCTGTTTTGCTTGAATCGCATCGGCCGTTCCCAGATAAAAAAAGCACACGCACACACACACACACACACCTCCCCCACCCCCCACCCCCCACCCCCAACCCACCCCCAACCCACCCCCAACCCACCCCCAACCCACCCCCAACCCCCCCCCCCTAAAGAGGGAAGAATTGGGCCTATGTGTCGCCCAAGGCCCTGAATAATAGTTTCCCGGGTTCTCCCTGGGCCAGTTCCAGGATATTAAAATAAATAAATAAATAAATAAATAAATCAAAAAAACAATGTTTTTTTTTTTTTTTTTAAAAAATTTCTGGAGGCCTCCATTTCTTGATGTTTTCTAAATAAAATAGAAATAGATAGTTTCCTGGGTTCTCCCTAGGCCAGTTCCAGGATATTTAAAAAATGTTAAAAAATCAAATATATAGTTTTTTTTTTTAAACAACTCAAATAATTTAAATAGTTTTTTATTTTTTTTAAATTTCTGAAGGCCTCCAAAAATTTAAAAAAAAATAAAAATCAATTAATTTAAAGAAAAAATCAAATAATTTAATTATTTATATTCTTTTTTTTTAATTTTCTGAAGGCCTCCAAAAATTTAAAAAATAAAAAAAATAAAAACCGACTAATTTAAAGAAAAAAACAAATAATTTAATCATGTATATTCTTTTTTGTTTTTTTTTTAATTTCTGGAGGCCTGCAAAAATTTAAAAAAAATTAAACAAATATAAATAGTTTCGTGGGTTCTCCCTGGGCTAGTTCCAGGATATTTAAAAAATTTAAAAAAAAAAAAAAAAAATTAAAAAATTCAATTAATTTAAATATTTATATTTTTTAAATTTTTGAAATTTCTGGAGGCCTCCAAAAAATTAAAAATAAAAAATATAAATAGTTTCCTGGGTTCTCCCTGGGCCAGTTCCAGGATATTTAAAAAATTTAAAAAAATCAAATAATTTAAAAAATTCAAATAATTTAAATATTTATTTTTTTTTTTTTTAAATTTCTGGAGGCCTCCAAAAATTTAGAAAAAATAAAACATATAAATAGTTTCCTGGGTTCTCCCTGGGCCAGTTCCAGGATATTTGAAAAATTTAAAAAATTCAATTAATTTAAAAAATTCAAATAATTTAAATATTTATATTTTTTTTTATTTTTTTTTAAATTTCTGGAGGCCTCCAAAATTTTTTTTTTTAAAAAAAATATATAAATAGTTTCCTGGGTTCTCCCTGGGCCAGTTCCAGGATATTTGAAAAGTTTAAAAAATTCAATTAATTTAAAAAAAAATCAAATAATTTAAATATTTATATTTTTTAAATTTTTTAAATTTCTGGAGGCCTCCAAAAATTTAAAAATTTTTTAAAAAATATAAATAGTTTCCTGGGTTCTCCCTGGGCCAGTTCCAGGATATTTGAAAAATTTAAAACGTTCAATTAATCTAAAAAATTCAAATAATTTAAATATTTATATTTTTTAATTTTTCTAAATTTCTGGAGGCCTCCAAAAATTTAAAAAAAAATAAAAAATATAAATAGTTTCCTGGGTTCTCCCTGGGCCAGTTCCAGGATATTTGAAAAATTTTAAAAATTCAAATAATTGAAAAAAATCAATTAATTTAAATAATTATATGTTTTAAATTTTTTAAATTTCTGGAGGCCTCCAAAAATTTAAAAAAATTAAAAAATATAAATAGTTTCCTGGGTTCTCCATGGGCCAGTTCCAGGATATTTGAAAAATCTTAAAAAAATCAATTAATTGAAAAAAATCAATTAATTTAAATATTCATATTTTTGAAATTTTTTAAATTTCTGGAGGCCTCCAAAAAATTAAATAATTTAAAAAATATAAATATTTAAATTATTTGAATTTTTTAAATTATTTGAATTTTTTAAATTATTTGATTTTTTTTAAATTTTTCAAATATCCTGGAACCGGCCCAGGGAGAACCCAGGAAACTATTTATATTTTTTATTTTTTTTAAATTTTTGGAGGCCTCCAGAAATTTAAAAAATTTAAAAAATAAAAAAATATTTAAATTATTTGATTTTTTTAAATTATTTGATTTTTTTAAATTTTTCAAATATCCTGGAACTGGCCCAGGGAGAATCCAGGAAACTATTTATATTTTTTAAATTTTTTAAATTTTTGGAGGCCTCCAGAAATTTAAAAAAAATAAAAAAAATATAAATATTTAAATTATTTGATTTTTTTAAATTAATTGATTTTTTTTAAATTTTTCAAATATCCTGGAACTGGCCCAGGGAGAACCCAGGAAACTATTTATATTTTTTAAATTTTTAAATTTTTGGAGGCCTCCAGAAATTTAAAAAAAATAAAAAATATAAATATTTAAATTATTTGATTTTTTTTAAATTATTTGAATTTTTTAAATTTTTCAAATATCCTGGAACTGGCCCAGGGAGAACCCAGGAAACTATTTATATGTTTTAAATTTTTTAAATTTTTGGAGGCCTCCAGAAATTTAAAAAAATTAAAAAATAAAACAATATTTAAATTAATTGAATTTTTTAAATTATTTGATTTTTTTAAATTTTTCAATTATCCTGGAACTGGCCCAGGGAGAACCCAGGAAACTATTTATATTTTTTAAATTTTTTAATTTTTTGGAGGCCTCCAGAAATTTAGAAAAATTTAAAAAATATAAATATTTAAATTATTTGATTTTTTTAAATTATTTGAATTTTTAAATTTTTTAAATATCCTGGAACTGGCCCAGGGAGAACCCAGGAAACTATTTATATTTTTTAATTTTTTAAATTATTTTTTTTATTTTTTTTAATTTTTTTAAGTATCCTGGAACTGGCCCAGAGAGAACCCGGGAAACTTTTTTTTGGAGGCCTCCAGATTGTTTTTTTATTGAATTATTTAAATTATTTGATTTTTGTTAATTTTTCAAATATCCTGGAACTGGCCCAGAGAGAACCCGGGAAACTATTTATATTTTTAAAATTGTTTGGAGGCCTCCAGATATTTCAATAGAATTGAAAAAATATAAATATTTAAATTATTTGATTTTTTTTTTTTTTTTTTTTTTTTAAATATTGATTTTTTTACATATCCTGGAACTGGCCCAGAGAGAACCCGGGAAACTTTTTTTTGGAGGCCTCCAGATTGTTTTTTTTTGAACTATTGAAATTATTTGATTTTTTCAAATTTTTTAAATATCCTGGAACTGGCCCAGAGAGAACCCGGGAAACTATTTATATTTTTTAAATTGAAATTTTTGGAGGCCTCCAGATTTTTTTTTAAAACATATTTAAATGATTTGAATTCTTTATTTGTTTTGATTTTTTGCTTTTTTTTTAAATATCCCGGAACTGGCCCAGAGAGAACCCGGGAAACTATTTTTTCATTTTTTTGGAGGCCTCCAGAAATTAAAAGAATATATATTAAATGTAAAGACTTATTATCTTTTTAATTATTCAAATTATTCTTGTTTTTCAACTTTTCCAATATCCTGGAACTGGCCCAGGGAGAACCCGGGATATTACTCAAAAACATAAAAAATGGAGGCCTCCAGAAAGTTAAGACATTTTAATAAATGAATGTGTATTGTTTTGCTTGTTATTTTTTCAAGCTTGCTGAATATCCGGGAACTGGCCAGGGAAAACTTTTTTTTAGACGCCTCTACAAATTTAAGAACAAATAACTACAAAAACAAACTCTATATTTTTAAATATCCGGGAACTGGCCAGGGAGAACCCTGGAATTTAATTATTGTTTTTGTACAAAAAATGGAGGCCTCCAGAAATTTAAAAATTAGAAGATACATAATTTTAGATTATTTGACATGTTTAAACCATTTTTTAAATATCCTGGAACTGGCC